ATCACTCTGCTGCTCCAGCTCAGGACGGAGGGAGAGGGGGAGAAACGAGGGATCTGGAGATGTGGTGATGATGAGGAGGACAAAACTCACAATTAAAACTGTCAGCTCCAACACACCCCCCCACACACCCCGATATCAACCGTCACCCACCCGCACGCTCAGCACTGTTTAAACCCCCCACCCGCCACAATTAACCTGTCAGAGAGAGAGAGAGAGAGAGAGAGAGAGAGAGAGAGAGAGAGAGAGAGAGAGAGAGAGAGAGGGGCAGAGAGAGGCGGAGAGAGACACAGAGAGAGACTCAGAAGGGGAAACAGAGAGAGAGAGGATGAGAGAAAGAGAGAGAGAAAAGTGTATGTGTCTGCGCGTGTTTGTGTTTATCTGTTTGTGGGGACCCAGATGTTGATGAAAACATAAACATTTTAATGTAACTCTCTTCTCCAAAACTGCACCTTTTAGTAGAAATAGTAAAGTTAAAAGAATAAAAAGTAAAAATAATAACAATCTTTACTCATTTAGCACTTTTGATTTCGGGTACAACATCAGTAAGGAAAACATATGGAAAATGACATTTTTATATTAAAATCAGACAAAATCCTACACCTGCACATTAATGTATATCATAGAATATAGAGATTAAATAAAGACACCGAAGAGATCCCTAAAGAACCTTCCAGTGGATGATTCTTTAAAGTACCTTGTTTGTTAAATGGATGTGTGAGTGTTTAACATAACGTAAAGGTTCTGTACGGGTTATTTTAAGGTTTTTCCTCCAGGGCTAGAACTTTATTTTTCTAGGGGTGACAAGGGTAGAAAGATTAGCTTTAAAGGTTAAGATAAGAGTCGAGTTAGCATTCAGTCTATACAGTCATACAGAAGGACGTCCCGCCAAGAAGGAATACGTGTATGTGTGCGTGTTTTTATCTCTTTGTGGGACCCAGATGTCCCCACACTGATGGAAACATTAATGAAAACGACACAAATTCGATGCAGTCTTTTCAGAAAATGCATAATAAGAGTTATGATAATAATAATGATAATAATAATGCTAACAGTAATAATAAAGATGGACATAAAAAGAGTAGTTTTGTATTTCTCCTCAATTTAGTGTTTTGAATACTAATATTTAGTTAAAAAATATTGAGTAAAAAATTGCAGATATTAATATTTAGTGTTGTCTGTAGTGAATTTTTCCCCACAATTCAGAAAATAATAATAAATAATAGATAATGATAATAATGGAGAAAAAAGTGGCATTATCCCATCTCCACTGTTTATTTTTTCTGAATAATAATACTATATAATTAAAAATATTTAGCAAATTGTATGTAGTTATGTAGTTAATAGCATTCAGTTTTGTGATATATTCTTCTCACCATGAAAACAGGAATATATGCAATAAAATTATGTAATAAACAATACATTATGCATATATAAAAAAGATATATAACAAAAATATATCTAATAATAATAGTAATAATAATGCAATAATAATAATCTCTGATTTTCTAGCATGGTTCATTTAGTTTACACAATCTCAAAACACTTCTTTAGCGTTCCAGCCAGAGCATTACATTTATTATATTCAAAAACAAACAGAAGGAAAGAGGTGCATGTTAAAGTCAATTAGACTATAATAAATAAATAAATAATAAATAAGAGACCAAAGATGAGCCTTTAAGGTGAAGGGGGGGGTTCATTTAGACCAGCAGCATTTGGTCAGTACAGTCATAGAGAAGTCAGTAATACAAGCCTGGCTGTGTGTGTGTGTGTGGTGTGTGTGTGTGGTGTGTGTGTGTGTGTGTGTGTGTGGTGTGTGTGTGTGTGTGTGTGTGGTGTGTGTGTGCGTGTGCTTTTGGAAGGGTCTTCACACTGGCAGCTGAATGGAGTGTAATGTGTGACCGCTGCTCATCAGTTTTTAATTAGGCGTGGTTGCTGAGGGAGCTGTCCGCGCCACTAATTCCTGTTTTCACCCTCTCCAGCCACAATGTGCAATTAGTTAAGTGGCAGTGATCTGGTGTGGAGCCAGTGCTGCGGTGATTACTGACACAAATCACGGCCCGGCCGCGCACGGCCATTACCGCACGCTCAACTTCTTCAATCAAAACTTCTTCATCATCAGTCCGACGGGAGTTTTTTAACGTTAGCGTCAGAGCCGCTGCCGCAACGAGTGCACAACAGAGTGAGCTTTTATCACGCCATCAGCTGTATGAACCGGCCTGGGTTATTTGAATTGAACAGCTGGGGAGGAAAAAAGGCTCCAGGAGTCTGAAGAGGAAACTAAAGCATATAGTTTTCTCACTTCAGCTCAGGCTGTGAGAATCAATGTGGCTGAACTGATCTCGACGGCCTGAGCTGCAGCTCGTCCAGCTGTGGTGAAGGACCGAGAAGGAATGGGACAAAGTACTAACTTCATGATTATATTGTGACTTGGTGCTGGGGTACTCTATTAAAGGGGAATTGCACCAAGTTTTTAAAATTTCTACATAGTTCAGAGTCATTCAGAGTGGTTTGGTGTGAAATGGTTCAGATGTCTTTACAGTGGTGGTAATAGGAACCAGGGGTCGTCCATGACTACAACACAAATATAGCCATTTTATTTACTGTCCAAAACCGCCAGTGAACCTACAGGTGTCTTCTGAGCTTTCATAAGAATGGTAATGGTAAAATAGTGATAAATCTGCTAAGTAAGTTTTCTTTGGGGACTATTTTGCTTCACAACACCCTGCACTTATCCCTCCACCATGAATAGATTAGAGAATGTATATTTTAGCCCAAAAGCATATCTCTATGCTTTAAAACTATTGTAAAACAATGTCTCAAATATCAGGTGGCATTATTATGCAGTAACTTTCTATGAGGGAACTTTTAGAGGCATTGAAACTCATCTGACGTCTGGTTCCTACCAGTCACAGCCCGGTAAGTGTAAATGTTTACTTTAAAGATTTAATCATGCAGCATTTAAGAAAAATTGGTGGAATTCCCCTTTATATTCGAACAGGGCTGGGAACACCACAGTTTTGCTGACGTTAGGGATTAAATAAGTTCTTTTTATGATCAATGAATATAATGGAACGTGAGGATGTTGCAAAGGACACACTGTTAACTCTTCAAATTCCACATTAAACTAGAGAAGCTGAGCTTTCTGACCAAATCTGTGTCATCAGTATTGCCTGTGCATTAAATCAGTGTACAGTAGTATGCAAAAGTTTGGGAACCCCTAGTTGAATTCCCTGCTTCTGTTGGTTTTCTAACTATAAATAATACACTTCTGCACATTTCCGTGCACAATTATTGCTTGTTTGCTGAGTTTAAGATATTGGGGGGACAAAAAAAACAAAATTTGGTTTATGCAGAAGTTATGGCACATTTTACATTTTATGTTTTCAAATATATTAAACTCAGCAAATATATAGATATTGTGCACTACAATTAGCAGAAAAATGCCACAAGTGTTCTCTGTAGAGGACGTGTTAACTTCCACCTAGTTTAGGCCCACACTGCATGATTTGTTGCCTGATTTTAACCCCACTTTGCTCCTTGCGACAAAGTTTCACAATCTGAAGCGATTTTCCAGGTCGGGAGCTCGATCGGAAGTGACTGACGGCGTGGCTGATCTGGTGTGAGAGGAAAAACGAGTGAATCTTTAGTCCACCGATCGAGCTCTGAAGTGATCAGAGTGTTTGATATTTACGACTCTCACTGTATCAGTGCTTCTCACCACATATTCATCCCCAGCACTTTCGCTGCACTATAAAAGCACAAACAGGTCCAGTAAGCGTAGCTCTGTTTGTGTCGGGTGATCTGAGGAGATCTGGGAGTTTGAGTTCTTATCCGTAGCCGAAACTCGTTATGTGTGTTATTCTCTCTCTTTGCCTTGTCGTCTAGTCTGAGCGTCCTCACAACAACAAGACAAGAAATTCTGCCAGACTGACGTTAAGTTTGTGATGCTCTCCATTTTAGAAATCTATTAAGTCATGCAGTGAACGGCCAGCCTTAGAAAATCAACAGAATGGAGTTTTCAGACCTCTGCATACGACTGACTTCTCTCTGTTTCCCATTTGTTGGCAGCCAATCAGAGGATTAAATGCACCCTCTTAAGGCTTTTGAGAAACAAGATTTTTTCTAGGATTGGTGCTGGAAAACTACAAATGCTTTTCGAGGGCTGCTTGAAGTGAGAAGCTGGTGACACCAGAAATATCAGGAGTGTGATGTGGCCCTATACAGCTAGACAGCAACACACACCACCAGCATGAACGCTTACTTCATAAACACACTGATGCTGGCCCCAATGCTCCACGGTCCATACAAGGAACGCTTTTTAATGTCTTGGTGCATTAATACAGAAATTATTTGATATGTGTGCTCACAAGTGTGTGTATTTGTTATTTTCAGTGGCTTCAGATGCAGCTCAGCCAGTCAGCTTTCAGATCTGGAAGTTTCTGTTTTATAATTTTAATGGGCCTTGAATTGAGGCTTGTTGGTTACTGAATAATCATCTAATGACTAATGACAGTTTGTATCCCTAGAATACACAAAAACCATTCATCAAAACACACACAGAAACACTCAGCTGGAACAGTGATTGGTCAGGATGGTAGTAAACACAGTAAAAACACTGTGATTTGCACATTGCAGTTAACTGTGGTATCAGTATTGCACACTTCAGTAACAGTTAATGGATTATGCAGCGTTTGACTGAACATAGACTCCGTGGTGCTGTTTATGCATTTGTTTGTTTATTTGTTTGCTTGTTTAAGCAACACTAAGTCATTATTCCTAATTCAAAATTAATGAATTAATGACAGAGACTCACAGTTCTGAGTTAATGTACAATCATGGTGACTCCATGGTGTGGCTTTTCTCTCATTGTGGCGCTGACAACTTGGAATAGAAGAAGAATAGAAGAAAAAAATATTTAGAAAGTATATATTTGATGTTTTGTGTGTGTGTGTGCGTGTGTGTGTGCGTGTGTGTGTGTGTGTGTGTGTGTGTGCGTGCAGTGTCTCACAGGGTGCTGCAGGAGGTCAACAGTATGCAGGAGAATCTGGAGGTTGAGAAGACATGCAGGGAGACGGTTGAGGCCCTGGCAACAAAGGTTTATCACATTCTATTCTATTCTATTCTGCTTAATTATATTCTGTTGTGATTCATTCTATTCTGTTCTTATTTCTATCCTTTCTGTTGTGCTTAATTCTGTTCTGTTCTATTGTATTCTATTCTATTCTGGTTTATGTTGTTTGATTCTATTCTATTCTGCCTTATTCTATTCAATTCTATTCTATTCTACACTATACTGCATTATTCTATTCTGTTCTGCTTGATTCTGTTCTATTCTATTCTGTTCTATTTTGTTCTATTCCATTCTCTTCTATTCCATTATACTTGGTTCCGTTCTATTCCATCTTACTTTGCTCTTTTCTGCTTTGTTTTACCCCATTCTGCCCTGCGTTTTCTATTCTATTCTATTCTATTCTATTCTACACTGCATTATTCTGTTCTGATCTGTTCCGTTCTACTGAATTTTGTTGTATTCTGCTTTTGTATTCTATTTTTCTATTCTATTCTGCTTAGTTCTATTTTGTGCTAATTCTATTCTGTTGTGTTTAATTCTATTCTGTTCTTACTTCTGTCCTTTTTGTTGTGCTTAATTCTGTTCCGTTCTATTGTATTCTATTATTATGTTTATTCTGCTTGATTCTGTTCTATTCTATCCTCTTCTGCACTGTTCTGTTCTATTCTGTTTTATTTTGTTTGATTTCTGCATTATTCTATTCAATTCTATTCTATTGTAGTCTATTCTACACTACACCTCATTATTCTATTCTGTTCTATTCTATTGTATTCTATTCTATTCTGCATTATTCTATTCTGTTCTTTTCTCTTCTAATCAATTATACTTGGTTCTGTTCTGTTCCATCTTATTTTGCCCTTTTCTGCTTTGTTTTACTCCATTCTGCCCTGCTTTTTTCCGTTCTATTCTGTTCTGTTTTATTCTGTTGTATTCTATTCTTTTCTGTCCTTATCTGTCTATTTAGTTATGTGCTGTTCCGTTAGGAAACTTTCAGGCAGTATCGATAAGGCCCTGTTGATCTGTCCTGTTTGTGAGGATATTATTCTAGGTATTTTATTGACCTATTCAAAAACGTCTTTTTTCTCTCTTTCAAATATTTTCTTTCTTAGCTACTGTTGAAAGGTTGGTCAAAATCTTTACACAATTCTTGTAGCACACGACTAAATTTACCTAAAAATACCTAGATTTAGAGGTTTTTTTGTTCATTTCAGTTGATATTTGAAATTGATTTTTATTTTGTTTGCATGTGAAAGATCACACCGTGTAGATGGTGCATTTGTTATTTGTATATTCTGATTTTATGTAGTAAACACTCTCTTACTGCACAGATAAATAGTTTTAAACAATGTTCTTGGCCTATAGACTTGGTCCTAAGGCTTTTGTGCAGCTCTACACAACGAAAATAACACAGAAAAAAGAAATTATCTACTTCTGATATAGTAGCAGATAATGTGTCATCAGTCCCAGAACGTCTGTTCATCACAAGGGTTCTCAAACATTAAGGTCCCAAATACAGAGCAAAATGCAGTGTATGTGCACTAACGGATGCAAAAGCCTAAGTTAAGTCTGAGTAAATGTTTTTTAGAAAGAGCCAGGTGTGAGGGGCAGCTCGGGGACAGAGAGCAAGTGCTTTTTTTTGATGGATGAATCAGCTTTCTGTCGCTGTATTGCCTGATAGCCCCATGCAGTGAGACAGCAATGAGAGAACAGCGGCATGAAGGGCAGGAGCGAAGGATGAAAAGATTGAAAGAGAGAGGAAAGAGGGTAGGAAGGTGACATGCCGCTGTGTTTTTCACACGCAGGGAAAGGCCTGGTTTACAGAAGCAGAGAGCTTTGACCGTCTGAACCAGTGTAGCTATCCAGGCCCACTAGATAATTCTCAGGGTTTATTTATTTATTTATTTGTTTATTTACTTTTGTGTTGTGTTTTCTCAAAACCTTTTAAACTGCTCCACACTGCAGTTCTTCACTAAGGTAGTGCTTTCACACCAGTTTCATAGTAGCTACTGTAGATACATTCAGGATACATACAGTCCATACACTGGAGATTTGGAACAAACAGTTGCCTATAAGTGATACCTTTGTTGTATTCATTTTATTTGTTTTCTTTTTTGTTTTGTCAACAAGTGTGTAGCAAAATGTTTTCTTGCCATCATTAGAAAACTTGAATTCATTATTTATTTATACATAATTTGTTTTTTTCTATAAATGCTAGCCACCCCTCAAATTTCACGATAAATGAGCCAATGGAAATTTTGAAAAACGCACCTTTCAGGTTTTCAAGTTACATTATATATAAAAAAAAACATAAGAGATTGTTTCAGAGACGATTTCAGCGGCGGTTTTAAAATAGATTATATTTCTGTTTCCACAGATTTTGTAGTTTCGTTTCTACCTTAGACGTGTCTTAGACTATTCTGGTCTAAGGGCAGCTTTCCCAGCTTGTTTCACAAACTGCTTTTGGGGTTTTTAGCAGCTGCCTATCAGCCTGGAAATAGCCCTACAGCTGAGCAGCGTAACGCTCTGGCATTATGTGCTTTAGAAAAGCTTGATTTGACCAATCACATGCTTCCTGTCTCCCATTAAAGAAGATGCTGGCGTGTCCTGTTATTGCTGGTGGCCACTGTGCTTGAAAACCCCCCTCTTTCTCTGTCTCTTTCTCTCCTCCTGTCTGTCCGGCCCTTTGTTCAGATCTCTCTTTGGCCCATCTCTGGCGTACACCGCCCCATACTCAGCCTGATGAATTGTGGTTTCGCAGCGGGAGGCTGCGACAACCTCTGTGAATGCTGGTTGTTTCCAACACCCAACTGGCTGATTTTATCCCCAGCCGTCCCCATAAAGCCTGTAAACTGTTTTGGCTTTAACCACTCTATCAGTTCTTTCATCCTATGGAGAGGAAAATTGCAACGTGTCACACTCTAGCTGGGGTCCTTTCTGGGTTTTAAGTCTGTTCACTGTATGTGCAAAAGCTTGTACATATAGACAACGCTTTAAAGGTGTGGTGAAAGTGGTGTTCCTCAGGGCTCAGCTGTAGGCCCTCTGCATTTGGGTTTTAAGTCCATTCACTACATAAACAGAAAGAGGTGGTGAATATAGACAACACCTTTTAATGTGTGGTGAAAGTGTTGTTCTTCAGGGCTCAGCTTTAGGCACTCTACACTTGGGGTTTCAGTCCATCCACTGTATAAATAGCAAAAACTAATGCATATATACATCTCTTTTCATGTATGGTGAAAATGGTGTTCCTCAGAGCTCAGCTGTAGGCCCTCTGCATTTGGGTTTTAAATCCAATTCACTATATAAACAGAAAGAACTTGTGCATATAGATAACTCTTTTAATGTATGGTGAAAGTGGCGTTCTTCAGGGCTCAGCTTTAGGCCCTCTACTTTTTCTCCTTTTCTCATTGGTTTATACAGCAGGGCAGTTTAATTGACTGTAATCTCAGTGTCATCCTTGTCGCAAACCTTGGCTTCAATGCTTAATCAAAACATCTCCAAAGAAGCTCTGATCTGTTTTCCCAGAGCCTTGCAAGCAACACTAGTTCAGATGTGTTTTTGGGGATATTTCTGCTGCACAATCACTTTTTTTGTTATTGTTTTGTTTAGAAAATGATAAAAATGGAAATAGGTTCATATTCCGGACTTGTTGAATGTGGTTTTAAAGAAAAAAGACCCACGTTACATGCGGCGCAGAATATGATTTTATTTCTTTCTTCTATTTTTTCAAAACGTGAAGGTTATGCTGCGAAAATTATAGCATTGGCTCATTCCCAATTTACATTTAAATCGGCCCAAACTATTTTGGTAGGTGTGATTGGCGGAGAGCGGAGGGAATCAGCTCTAATAACCGCCATGTTGCGGCCGTTTGATGCTTTGTTCCTGATGCCTGTAATTTTGTCTGCCAACGAGGCCTCTGGGCTGGCGGGCACAAAAAAAAATGGAAGAAGAAGGAAAAAATGGTAATCAATTTCTTAAACTCTGGAACATTCTGAATTAGAAAAAGAAAAAGGCAGTAATGGAGGAAAGAGCGGGCGGCGTCGGTCAAATCAAAGTGCAATCCAAACACATGACATTTTGTTTTGATGTTGGATTGGAGGAGATGGGAGGGGGGGCGACCTCTGTGACTGATTTCTGCAACTGTGTAATTTCACATTCACGCTTTCTCATCAATGCTGCATGATTATCACTTATGTGTTGTTGATTGTGTTTTTTTTAGAGTGAAGGACATCATCAGGAAGTGGCTTCATGTGGTTGTCTGGTCTTGGCAAAGGGACGGCATTAATAAGCGTTTTGACCAGTGTGTCGTGTAGGATTAATTTGCATAATTTACATATCATCATCCCCATTGGCTGGCTCCATCCCCACTTATTTCCCTCTCTAATTGCTGTTTGCGTGTGACCTATCTGTAAAGACTTTAATTTAACCGTAAAGACGAGGTGATATTTCTCGAACGCGGATCTATTGGAGTATAAGAGGGGCCGTATCGGGGGGGAATTTGGCCGGCTGTATCTGATAGCCCACGCTAATGATGTTTACGCGGTTGTATCTGATAAAGTACTGTAATTATTTTTATTTCCCCGCTTTTCCCCACGTCTCCTACGCGGCTGTATTATTTTACCCTTGATTATTGCTCTTTTCAGCAGAGTGTTTCATGCTGGGCGTGAGTGTACGTGTGTGTTCCTGTTTGATTGAGTGAAATGGGATGTGCGCAGGTTGGTATTTGAGCAGGCAGGGTTGCTGTGTTGATTTGATTTTTGATTTCAGCTCGCTGGAAAATCAGCTGCTTCAGACTTATATCATCTTTGAATTTATTTATTTATTCTTTTTTTTTTCCTTCTCTGTCTCTAATCGTCACACCTGAAAACATGACGGGAATGCCGCTGCGCAGCACTGACATTTCCAGGGATTGTGCATCTACATGTAGAGACATGTGCAATAGGTTTGGGACTTTTTTGGGATGTTTTTGTTGATGTTCTAAGTGAAAGTGAGTACACATCCTCTGTAGAGATCTCATTTTAATGCACAAGTACTCTTTATTTACTGAACTTAACATACTGGAGAAAAATAAACATAAACTAGCACATATATTGTATGTTGTGTCTTGTACTGACTTTTTTATTTTTTCCAATATGTTAAAGTTTAATGTAAGTTCTCTATAGAGAAGGTGTTAACTTATTTTCACTTAACAAAATATGTACATTGAGGTGGGATGTTCAAATTGTTGCACATGACGGTACATTCCCAGTTAAAAGTTTGGACCCACCTGATTGATTGGATGTTTTTAATAAGCTCAACACTTTTAAGATTAAGACTAAAATAATCTATTTCAGCCTTAATCTACTCTTGCCCTTTAAAAATGTGATTTCTCAATGCTGTCATTGTATTCACACTTCTGAGGCCTGTTATTGTTACTCTGATAAAGTTCTGAAAATGTGTGTCACAGTGCGTCCAACAATACAGGCAGCATGGAGCTTCTCTTATACAGTGATAGGAAACACAGCAGCTCACAGAAAGCTCCAATTCCACATGCTAATCTATTTTACTGACCAACGTGGACATGCACGCTCACCAACAACTCTGGTAGTAGATTCTCATCAGTTAAAGGAAACGAAGCCAAAGACATGAGCGAGATGTTAGGTTTGATAGGGTTAAAACCATACATTTTGCTTAAATGTTTAGTGGGCAATTCGGATGTTGATTAACCTCTTGAATGGCCAGTACATACAGCCAGTTTACATTGAAGTCCCTGTAGTTACTGAATAATAAATGTACATGGGTTTTTTTCCCCAACCATCCCCATAAAGCCTGTAAACTGTTTTGGCTTTAACCACTCTATCAGTTTTTTCATCCTATGGAGAGGAAAATTCTGATGTATCAGACTCTGACTGGGGTCTTTTTGGGATTTAAGTCCATTCACTATATAAACAACAAGAGCTGGTACTTACAGACAACTCTTGTAATGTGTGGTGAAAGTGGCGTTCCTCAAGGCTCAGCTTTAGGCCCTCTACTTTTGGGGTTTTAGTCCATCCACTTCGGATGTCGAGTACATTTTTACGGGTTCTTGGGGTAATTTCCTCTTTTATGGGTGCTCCTCTATAATTTTATTGCTGTCCAGATTATTCTGGGTAATTATTTTGGGTTCCATGACTGAAATGCTCAGCAGGTTGTTAACATATTAACAGGGTAAGTATGTCCACAGTACTGTGTAATTATTTTGAGTAAAAACTACCAGTTAGGTATATGACATAGAAATATTGTACATAAATAAAATACAAAGTCTCACATGGAATCTGGGCTGTAAAAGAATGAGAGCAGAAATGATTCTGAGTATAGTTTAAGTGGGTTCTTAGCATTTACTTCAGAAAACTGTCTTTGTACTTTGTGCCAATCTTTTTACACCATACAGCTTGTTACTTTGGAATTGTTTCTGATTTACACTCCTGCTTACATTGTCATGTGACATTGTAGAGAAGTACAGTGAAGTACTTTACAACGTGTTTTACTATATCCTTTATCAACTTAATAGCTAGAACCTGTTGGGCATTTCAGTGTAATTTAGTTAAACTGCCCTGAAACTTTTCATCACTCTTACCCAAAATGATTGTCGAGTACTTAGAAATTTGTACCCCGCACAAACCTGGTTAATGCCTCAGGGAACTGTAAAATAAAACAAGTTATGACAAAGCTAATGAGGAAAAGTACTGCAGTAAAACAGGCAAATAATAAAATGCAACAAATAAAAGTGACGAAAAGAAAATCAGAAAAAATGGCAAAATAGAATAAAAATACAACAAAGTAAAAAAATGTGTTTTTAGCAGTTTCAGTATCATTAAAGAGCCCATAATAGGGGAAAGCAAATTTGCCTTGTTTTTATAAATAAAAGTGTGTAATGTGCTGTTCAATCTATACAGTCCATATATTTAGATTAAGCTGTAAAAACAGCCAGCTTTGACTCTTTAATGATGACATTCATTCACTACATTTGACTGGTACTGTATCTTTGCGTGTGTGTGTGTGTGTGTGTGTGTGTGTGTGTGTGTGTGTGTATATATGTGTGTGTGTGTGTGTGTGTGTGTGTGTGTGTAGCTGAACAGACAGAACCGTTCTCTGAAGAGGAAGAGTATGATGTACCTGGCCCACCTGGGTGCTGATGTCATCGCTAAGATCAATCTGGATGATGAAGATGATGATCAGCAGGAGGAGGAGTCTGGAACCTGTAGCTCCACCCGCTGTCACACCATCGTCTCAGGCATGTCTCCACCCCCCTTCCCACAATGCAGCGCTTTCTGAAATGCCGTGTAGCTCTTTAACTGCTCTTTAACTGTCGATACTGTTTGAATGTAATTATATAGTGAGATAATTAGTGACACAGTAAGTTGTGAACATTTGAACGTCCCTGTTTAGAATGTGAAAATAAGTTTCCTTCTGCAGGAAACAAACCTAAGTATTATTCTACAAATTTTACTGCACAATTTCTGTTTTTTACTGAGATTAACATGTTGTGAAAAAATAAAACATAAAATATAAAATGAACAATGAGGCCACATTTTGCATTTTATTTTCCTTTGTCAATTTCAGCAAACAGACAGTAAATTGTGCTTTAGTTTGTTGTGTTAATTTAGTTTCATTTAGAAAATGCCTTTCGTTTGACCAGGGGTGCTCAAACTTTTGCATATGACTGAACATTCTGTATCAGCTGGTCTGTGTCTGTGCTTTTTTCCTTTTCAGTGACAAAAATGTGGCAAAAATGTAAAAGACTTTTTTTTCCTTTTCTTAAAAGACTTATCAAATTTAGATTAAATATGCTGTAATCAATTAGGGGTGGGAATCTCTAGGCACCTCACGATTCAATTCGATTACGATTCAGAGGGCTGCGATGCGATTATAAAACGATTATCGTTTTTTTCTATACATGATTTCTATTTTCTTATTGTCTGAGGACTTGGTAGTTTTAAAACAAAGTATTTGTAATGATCCATAATGCATTTACGTCCAATATCTTTTATTAATAAAACGAATGGAAGTGATGTGGCAAGTGAACTGGAAGGCTCTCGTTCACTGCTCTTGTTTGGAGACGCTGCTGCCACTCATCTGCGATAAAATGCGCTGTTACAGTGAAATAAGATCCAGTGGCAATGGATGTCCACGCAGCACATCATATATTCTTTAGTGATTTTATAACTTCGGTTTTGGTCTCGTGATAGAGGGGGGGGGGCGCGAAAGACTGCAGGTCACATAGCAACGAGGTTTCGCTGAGCGAAACGAACGAAAAAGGAAAAGAGAAAGACAGACGAACATTTGGAGATGAATGGACTTATTCGCATTTATAAGCAGCGCAGTTGGTTTCCTGGTACGTTAAATCTGCAACGAGAGATGTCAAACACGAAGTTGCGAAGATGAAGTCGCTTCTCTTTCTAATTTTCCCGTTCCACCTTAAATGGTGCATCGGCATCTCAGTCAGAATTTAAGGTGGAACGGGAAAGTTCAGCAAGAAGCTGGAGAATAAGAAGCAACTTCAGCCTCGTAAAACAGCCGAAAGCTGAGAGACATTTTACAAGAAACTATTCAACTTTTGAGGAAAAGTTTTCTGGCGGAGATGGAAGAAAAGCGGCTGTAGCTGAGCTAAATCTTAAAGCAGAGCAGAGTAAGTCTGTGTTTTCGTTTATATTGTTTAGCCTATACTAGGACATTAACACATACTGAGACATACTGGGCATTAAATGTTGCGGCTCCCAAGGTGGTTTGATTTTTGTTGAAAGGACAAAATGTCTCTTCTTATCATTTGTGTTGTGACTCCTGATCTAACCTGGCTTTAATGCAGAGGGAGCCGGTCGGATTTCTCACTCATCCAGTAGTGTCTTTGTTATGTGCCGTCACAGACTGACCGGGCGCTGCACTTACCCACTTCCAAGTTCCGCCCTTTGCGTTCCGTCAACATTACGTTATAAATTAAATATTTAGAAAATCGATTTTTGACATTTGTGAATCGATTCAGAATCGTCCACATCTGCATCGCGATGCATCTAAGAATCGATTTTTTCCCGCACCCCTATAATCAATATAAAGTTACAGTACACTATCATGGGACTTCTGTGTTAGCCTGTTGTGATTTTATATTGTTATGATAGAGTTCATTGGTTTCCTTTTGACTATTGTTTGTTTCTTTGTGTGGAACAGAGCTGAGGGGTAAATTAGAGTCGGCTCAGGAGGAGAAAAAACGCTTGGCCATTGATCTGGAGGCGGCGAAAGATCAGCTCCGCAAAACCAGAGAGGAAGTAAGACAGACTTTAATTACAGCTAAGAGTCCCACACTGACACAAACACACGCAGAGATTAGAGCTGCTACATTCTTAATGAAATCATAATCATGATTGTTTTTGCTTAGAATTGAATTCACGATTCTCATGAGGTTGGGGTGGATTGATGTAAGGCATGTTCTCTGACTCGACTCACACCCCAGAGCCTCGGGACTCACTTCAGACTCGCATCTCAGAGACTTGAGGCTCAACTCAGACTCCCACCCCAGAGTCTCTGGACTCGACTAAGACCTGCACCCTAAAGACTCGAGACTCGACTCAGACTTGCACCTCAGAGACTCAAGGCTCGACTCAGAATTGCTTCTCAGAGGCTTGAGACTCGACTCAGACTCATGACTCGACTCAGACTTGCACCCCAGAGACTCGGGGCTTGACTCAGACTCGTACCCAAGAAACTCGGGACTCGACTCAGACTCGTACCCCAGACAGTCGAGACTTAACTAAACCCAAAAATTCTATACTTGACTCAGACTTGCACCTCAGAGACTTAAGACTCGAATCGGACTCGAATCAGATACACACATAACTGATTTGGACTCGCACTTCAGGGACTTGAGACTCGAATCTCAGAGACTCGAGGCTCGACTCAGACTCGCACTCCAGAGACTTGGAACTCGATCAGACTCGCACCTCAGAGACTTGAGACTCGACTCAGACTCGCACCTCAGAGACTTGAGACTCGACTCAGAGTCTGTGGACTCAACCAGGACCCGCTGCCTAAAGTCTCAAGACTCAACTCAAACTTGCACCCCAGAATCTGGGGACTCGGCTAAGACCCACTCCCTGAAGACTCAAGACTCGACTCAGACTTGCATCCCAGAGACTCGGGACTCGATACAGACTCGCATCTCAGAGACTTGAAACTTCACTTGGACTCGCCCCCCTAGACTCTCTGGACTCGACTAAGACCTGCTCCCTAAAGACTCGAGACTCGACTCAGACTCGCACCCCAGAGACTCAAGACTCAACTTGGTCTTGCACCCCGTACACTCGAGGCTGGACTCGGACTTACACCCCAGAGACTTGAGGCTCAACTCAAACTCGCCCCTCCCAGAGACTTGAAATTCACAACTCGATTCAGACACACACGTAACTAACTCTCAGGGGACCTGAGACTCTAATCTCAGAACTCAAGACTCGACTCAGACTCGCACCACAAAGACTTGAGTTTCAACTCAGATTCGTATAACAGAGACTTGAGACTCAACTTAGACTCACACTTCAGAGACTCGGGCTCAACTCAGACTCGCACCCCAGATTTGACCCTCAGATTTGCATCTCAGAGGCTCATGATTTGCAGCTTGATTGAGACACACATGTAACTGACTCAGACTTCCACCTCCTAGACTTGAGACTCAAGACTCGACTCTGTCTCGCACCACAGAGACACAATTCGGCCATGAAATGACTTGCAACGTTTCTAGCACTTATGGAAGACGTCCACCTACGGTGCCGTCGTGCCCCCCGTGGTCGCCATTCTACCATCACACTCACAGTAAAACATTAAATACTGCTGCACATCTTTAGAAATTCACTTTATTACTCAATCCAATTTTCGTGGCTTTCAGTCCGTCATTATTTATCTCTAACTGCTCTGATGTTGCTCTATTCAGACTGGTTTAAGTATTTGAATGTCATCAAAAAAATCACTTAAATGTTGAAATGGGTGGATAGAATAGAAGAAGAAAATATCTTCATGTCATGAACTCGTTATTGCTTTTCAATGTCTCAGATTCTTTCTTTCGCTTGTTCTTTCTTTCTCTTTGTGCTCTCTCTCTCTCCCCCTCTCTCTCTTTCCCAGCTCCTGAGAGAAAAACATGATAATACTGTTTTGATTGCTGAAACGCTTCAACAAAAGAAGCTCTTGGGAAAATATAACAGAGGTTAGTTCCAATCCTGTTACCCACGGTAACCCCCCCCCCAACACACACACACACAGGCGCACACGGTGGCACCTCTGATCCCTGAGACAATGCGCACACTCGTATCATAATTACACCAGCGATTTGGTGCGGTGTTTTTTGTAAGCCGAGTCCTTGAGTGCTGTAATATTTTTTCAGCAGTTAAAGCCTTAGGCCTCTCATAATCGTCCTTATCATACATAATGCAGAAACCACAGTTTAACACTAATCTCACTCGCCCCTCTCTTACTCTCTCCCTCTCCTCTCAACGCTGCGGTACCTTCAGCACATGTTCTGTTATACACTGAATGTCCAGCCCTTCTAAAGAGGGGATTCGGCTATATTTAAAGGGTCCATATCCTACAATTTGTCTTGTATTTTGTTCACTTATAACATTTGTGTTGGCTTTATGTACCAACGTCTTTATTTTATACAAAAAGCAGTCCAGGCTGAAACACTCCTTATAACTTCACTGTGAATGGGCGGAGCTAAAAGGCTCCTGTTTTCATACAAACATTTAAAACAAGATGCTTTTTTAGCTTAGTTTCCGTGTATAGACCGCATGGACTGGAGAGTGAATGGTACAACAACTGGCCACTTAATAAAGTCCACCTCTTTGTTTCCACACTCACTGTCCATTTTATCAGCTCCACTGACCATATAGGACCACTTTGTAGTTCTACAGTTACAGACTGTAGTCCATCTGATTCTCTGTTCACCCTATTCCTCAGTGGTGAGGACCCCCACACACCAGGTACTGTTTGGGTGGTGGGTCATTCTCAGCACTGCAGTGACACTGATGTGGTGGTGCTATGTTAGTGTGTGTTACGCTGGTGTGAGTGGATCAGACACAGCAGTGCTGCTGGAGATTTTAAACACTGTGTCCACTCACTGTCCACTCTGTTACACACTCCTACCTTGTTGGTCCACCTTGTAGATGTAAAGTCAGAGACAGTAGCTCAGTTGGTCATCCTCTAGTCCTTCATCAGCGTCACAGACACTGTTGGCTGGATGTTTTTGGTTCTCAGTCCAGCAGCGACACTGAGGTGTTTAAAAACTCCAGCAGCACTGCTGTATCTGATCCACTCAGACCAGCGCAACACACACTAACACACCACCACCACATCAGTGTTACTGCAGTGCTGAGAATGACCCACCACCCAAATAATACCTGCACTGTGGATATTTGTGATATAGGCACTCATTGGTTGGAACATGCAGCCGCTGTTGCTCTCACTGGATGTTAGTTAGCTATCAGAAAAGCCATCAATGGAATTTCGCCTTTAAAACGTGTATTTGATCTACAGTGTGTGAGTAGACACTGATTTTTTTTAATGTTTCACATATCGCACTGCACTAAATCCATTTAAAGAACACTAAATATGTTCACTTTTTAGTGAAACGCACAGTCAGTCCTTAAGTATCACTAGTATCCGCGATATGCACAGAAAATTTGTCTATCATGGTCAAATTTATCACGATAACAATGAAATATCGTCAGCTCTACATCAAACTGTGTTAGCGGCGTTAAAGCATATAACGTATACCTGTCTGTATGTATGTGTGTGTGTGTGTAGTGTCTAAGTATGCAGTAGAGGAGTACGAGGCCCTGCAAGCTGACCTGGAGCTGGAGAAAGATCTGCGAGCAGAGGCTGAGAAGTTTGCACAAGAGGTAGACAAACACAGACGCTCTCCTCTCTCTGTCCTGTTTAATGATCTGATTAAAGATTCTCTTTTCAGCTGCTGGGTTTCATGTTTTTTTCTCTCATGGTGTTTGCATATAGATGCTGGTGGAGCAGAAGAAGATGAAGAGACAGAGTAAGGTTCTGCTGCAGACCATGTCTCCTTCAGAAGCTCTGCAGAACGCTCTCAAAGAAATCACATCCCTCACACACAAGCTGGAGACGCAGAGACTCGAGCACCAACAGCAGGTACACACACACCAGGGCTGTAGTCGGTGCAAATGGGGGGCAACTCATTTAAAAGCCAGGATCTCCAGCTTTCTGTGTGCCCCAGAAAAGTTCTCCAGTGTTAGAAAATATAGTAGACCCCTTTCACACTTTTTTTTTCAGGCATTTAACGCAGTGGAAGACGTCATAGTATTGAAGATTTACGTTACCAAAAAAACATTACAGCAGCAGCGGCGTTCGCGACTGTTAATGTGGGTCCTCTTTCATATCTCGGTTGTAGAGGACTTGCTTATTTTAACACTCTGCTTAAAGTATTTACCTCATTTTTCCACAGAAGATGATGTTTGTTTGGCAGTTTTCCTATTCAGAGACAAACGAGCTTCACAAGGGCTGCAAAAGTAGGACACTAACACAGCACTGAATACGTCAGCGGTACAGACTTAAAGAAGACAAGAAGATACAAAGCTGACTGAGAATGGGATGGAGAATATATGATATGTAGAATATATGACATTGTCTTTAAGTACAACTCCATTTCCAAAAAAGTTGGGATCCTATGCAGAATATAAATAAAAATAGGATGCAATGATATGCAAATCATGTAAACCATATTTTTAAAGGAAAATACTACAAAGACAACATATCAAATGATGAAACTGAGAAATTTTATTGTTTTTTGAAAAATATATGCCCGTTTTGAATTTGATGCCAACAACACGTTCCAAAAAAGTTGGTTGTTTACCACTGTGTTTCATCACCTCTTCTTTTAACAACACTCTGTAAGTGTTTCGGAACTGAGGAGACTGTAGGTTTGAAAGTGAAATGTTTTCCTATTCTTGTTTGATACAGGATTTCAGCTGCTCAACAGTTCGGGGTGTCCTTTGTTGTGATTTTCAATTAATAATGCACCAAATGTTTTCAGTGGTGACAGGTCTGGACTGCAGGCAGGCCAGCTTAGTGCACGGACTCTTTTAATACGTAGAGGTGCTGTTGTAATACATGCAGAATGTGGTTTTACATTGTCTTGCTGAAATAATCAAGGCCTTTCCTGAAAAAGATGTCGTCTGGATGGCAGTATATGTTGCCAAAACATGTATATATAATTCAGCATTAATGGTGCCTTCATAGATGTACAAGTCACCCATGCCATGCAAACTAATGCCCCCCTATACCATACCATAAATACTGACTTTTGAACTGTGCACTGATAACAAGCGGAGTGGTCTTTAGCCCAGAGGACACAGTGTCCATGATTTCCATAAAGAATTTCCAATGTTGATTCATCGGACCACAGGACACTTTTCCGCTTCCCCTCAGTCCACTTTAAATGAGCTCGGGCCCAGAGAAGGTGGCAGCATTTCTGGATCCTGTTTCATACAGTTTTCTCTTTGTATTTCATAGTTTTAACTTAAATTTGTGGATGCAGCGACAAGCTGCTTTTCCACTACAGAATCATGGCTGTTTTTAATGCAGTGCTTCCTGAGGGCCCAAAGATCACAGCCAGCAAATACTGGTTTTTGCCCTTGCCGTCTTACCCACCCAGAGAGAGCTCTCTCAGACTCCTGGCCACAGATGGCTGTAACAACCCCAAGGATTGAGCTCTCGATCTCCTGATGACAGAGCCAACGCTTAGATGGTTGCGGCACTCGGGAGCCCCTCGTCTTTACTTCTGAAAGACTCAGCCTCCATAGAATGCTTTTTTATACCCAATCATGTTACTGACCTGTTGTCAATCAACCACTAGGTGTTTTTTTAGTTGTTGTTTGATGCCATGTTGTCGGCATCAAATTCGAAATGGGCATTTTTTCAAAAAACAATAATATTTCTGTTTTAACATTTGATATTTTGTCTTTGTAGTATTTTCAATGAAATATAGGCTTTAAATGATTTGCACATTGTCACATTATGTTTTTATTTGCATTTTGCACAACTTTTTCCTTAGTTGTAATGTCCTGTTTTGATGCTTCACGTTGACGAGCACCTTTGCTCCATGACTGCTGAAACTAGCTATTATCATCTCTCTCCCTGCTGGCATTGAATAGCGGCACTCTGCTACATGACGCCATGCAGTGTGCGGTGGCCAGTATGTTTGTCTATAATGTTAATCCAGTATCTAATCTTTCTACAGTTTATAAATGTGTGTATCGGCTTCATCATGGGCAGATATGTATGTGTAAAAGATCGGATATCCACATCGGCCCAGAATTCACACATCAGAGCCTCCCAAAGGCTTTTTCACAGTAAAAATGTCAGTGATATTACTGATCAAACACTAAAGGAATTGAACACTGTCATGACAGTTAGCTTACAAAAGTACCATGACTACAACCTGACCATTTACAAGACTAGACACTGTACAGAACAACAGGAGGAAATAAAAAGTTAAATCACAGAATATGACTAAAAAACAGTAACTGACTACATTAACTTTGCTCCCAACCGGAACAACACTGACCATATCCTAGCAAACATTAAGTAGCTAATGTTAGCTGGCCTCGTTGTGTAACTTGTCATGAGATCATTAATTTACCTTCATAGTCAACTAAATATTTTAGCTTGTAGTAAAGCTTGCTCCTGTCTGAAAATGAGAACTGCTCCAGCAAATGAACAGCGTCGTTCTTGGAAAAACAGTAGGTAAATACCTTAAAAAGGATGTAAAAATAAGTCCTCTACATCAGAGACATTACAAAGGAGAAGACTGTCTGCATTCTCATTTGTAAACGGCACTGCTGCTGTAATGTTTTCTCAACTACTTCCACTGTGTCGACTACTGAAGTACGACAGGTCTTTTCATGTTGTGCTTTTATAATACAGGATGAACCCAAAGGCGCTGAGTGCTTTCAGCCTTAAATAAGACCTCCTTCTATCAGGACCAATTTTAGGCAGCCAGCATCACCATGGGAACGTTCACACGGGTGCATGCCACCACTGATCACACACCGCAGTTGTTTTCTACAATAAGGCAACATTAACACCAATAATAATAGGCACATAGTGGGAACATCCCTGAGCTGTGCTAGTTCCTAACGTAGGCTACTAAATAGCAAACAAGTTGACAGTGATGAAGCCAAAGTTCAACACTGTGCAGAAAATGATGGGAAAATTGCAGTCTTTCAGATTAATCTTTGAGGTGTGCTGTAGTTAGCGGTGGGCAATTCATGGGATTTGATTACATCATGAGGAACACTACAGCCCACGCAGGTGGATGAAGGCCAAACAGAATAGACCAGAATGTCAACAAAAACAATGAAGAGACACACAGACACTTTAGTTACAGTCTCTAGAAAACACTACAAGAAGATTAGCTTGATTGCTGGACAGGATTCATATAACCTGCACACGGCTCAGGAGCAGAAAAGTCCAGTTTTACTAAATAAAAATGGCTACCAGAGCTCTTAAATAATAAACACATACATGCCACCTTAAATTGTGCAGCAGTTACATTCAGGTGCCTCATGCGTATAAAGGTCATTTTTGTGAAGCAGGCAGATAAAAGAAGCCAGCATCAGCTTTGTTACATACACACACAGCTAAAAGGTATTTTGCAGCAGAAATATTCACACAGAAGCTCCAGAGTCCTTATCATTTCCTGGGAACTATTCATTTTGTAAACTAAACCATGAATTCGACCCCTTCCTGATAATTTTCTGTGAAACTTCAGCTTAAAAGGGTCTGTGTTAAAGAGGTTACACTCTTAGCTGTAAAGATAGCAGCATACAGTACACCAATAAGACATTAAAAAGGCATTGCCAGTGTATAAAAACCAAAAACAGCCATTAAACGAGTGACAACCAACACTTAAGGGGAATTTCACCATTTTTTTCAAAATTTCTGCGTAATTCAATCATTGAGATGTAATCATTCAGAGAGGTTTGGTGTGAAATGGTTCAACCTCTTTATAATTTCTTTACAGTGGTGGTGATAGGAACCAGAATGACACAAATATAGCCATTTTATTTACTATCCAAAACCACCAGTGACCTACATGTGTCTTCTGTGTCTACATGTGAAGTTTTTATATGGAATGTTGATGATGGTAAAATAGTGGTAAGTCTTATAACAGTAAGTTTGCATTTGGGGACTGTTTTGCCTCGCAACATCCTCCAGGTATCCCTCCACCATGAATGTATAAAAAAATGCATTTAAGGCCAAAACCTGCTCAAAACTATCAGAAAAGTGTGTCTCAAGACATCAAGCAAGCGTATGAACTCCTCTAATAACACAATAATGATTCTATAAATACACACCTGTGTCACATAGCTGAAGCGTTTGGAGGATGAACTGCATGGCTCTGATTGGAGGAAACAGCTGTCAGTATTAGAGAAGAAGGCAGAGCTTCTGGAGGAGGAGAGGAGAGAGATGCTGGAGAAATGTAGCAGAGCGGAGACTGAGGCAAAGGACCTGCGCTTTACAGGTACACACACACCTTGTGAGGAGGGTCATGGGGTCATACGTGAAGTCATATGCAAAAGTTTGAACAAACTGGTCAAATTTTGTTTTGTTTTAAATGAATTAGCATTTCTACATGGAACACGCTTGAATATGACTTTTGTCTCCAAATTCTAGTGAACAATTTCTATTTATTTGATCTGTTTAAAGCTGCACGATGTAAGATTTGTTTGTTAACATTGAAAGAAGAATCATTACTGAGTGAGGAGAATAAAAACAGGCTATAATACGGTGAGCATGCGCTGCTGCAGGTCGCCCTGTAAAGCCTGAAATAATCAGTTTTTCACACCACGTCGTACGTCTTTCATATTAATGGCACGCACATAGACTCAAAAAGAAGTTCCTGCTCGAAGTTTAGGTCTCAAATGATCTCAAAATCAACATTATACTGATGAAGATGTGATGACAATAGTAGTTAATTCACTCACATCCTCAGAAGAGTTCTCTTTGAATATCTTTTACTCATCAGATTCATCCATTTGGGGAAGGGGTCCAAAGCACGACCCACTTTCCACAGTGTTCTTCCACACATTGTGTACAATTACACGTTTTGACCAGAGAGGGCTCCAAATTTCCTCAAAACTTAAACATGTTAGAAAAAAATTAAATAAAAAATGTGCCATAACTTTTGCACAGGCCACATTTTAAGTTTTATTTTTACCTAATATGGTAAATTTAGCAAATAAACAGTAATTGTGCATTAGAATGTGCAGAAGTGTGTTCTCTCTGTAGAGGATGTGTTCACTTACCTTCACGTAGAAAATCAACAAAACTGTCATTTAACCAGCGGGTGACCAAACTTGTACATATTATGCTCCTGCTTATATGAAAGTAGCTGTATGTAATAGTACGTCCCCCATTCATTCATTTCATTTCCAGTCAAAATGTCCATTAATTACAGGTTCATTTTTAAACTTTAGGTAAAAAACAGGAAACTACAGAGACCTGCTGGTGACGTCCCATATAAACAAAAATAATGGCAACAAGATCCTAATGCGTGGCTACGACTTAGTAAGGCGTGGGAACAAGATCATGCCTTACTAAGTCGTGGCCATGCATTAGGATCTCGTTCCCATGCCTTACTAAATCGTTGCAACACATTAGGATCTTGTTCCCACGCCTAAGTTGTGGCCACGACTTATTTATCTTGTTCCCACGCCTTACCAATTCGTGGCCACGCATTATTTTTATTTATATAGGATATCACTAGCGAGGCTCCATAGGAAACATACAGTACTGTGCAAAGGTCTTGAACACCTACACCATTTATCCTAGCAAAAAGATTATTAAAAACTGAGATAAGCTGTTTTGAAGAACAAAGTTTGGTTGCAGATTTCTCTCAATGTCAAGCTTGTAAAAACAGAAGAACCCTTTTTGGTGCTGTATAGACCCCTTTACAACACATTCTCCATCCATCTATAGAACCATTTCACCATGCAAAGAACCCTTTAGGCATGCAAATTGTTCTGTGAGTGTTTATGGTTCTATATAGAACCACTGTCTTTACTAAAGAACCCTTGAAAACCTTTTTTTTAAGAGTGTAGGCTTCCAAGATGAGAGATTTTGAAATTGTTCAATATGCCGACAAGCATAAAAATCACTAGTTATTGTATTAATATTATTTGGATTTACTTTTAATGTTAGAGTTTTTCTGATCAAATCTATGTTTATCAAGTCCTGTATATTTCACAGGAAATGGTTTTCGCCACCCCCTGCTGCAGCATATCTCACTGTGTATTTTCCTGTGTGTGTTTGTAGTGGAGGAACTGCAGAAGAAACTCCAGCAGGTATCTAACCCTGTTCCTGCCCCTCCACCTCCTCCACCTCCCCCACCTCCACCGCCACCTCCTCCACCTTCAGTACCAACCAACCCACTCAGGTCAGTACAGTAAAGTCCTGACTTTGTTATAAAACCACAGAAAATCAGTTCTAACCTACAGAACCAACAAAATGCTCCTGACTTTGTAAAGTGCTTTTTATAGAAGCTTCATATTTCATTTAAGGCTGAAAGAGCAGAGCTGTTTATTTTTTGTGTTCTGAGTTTAAGATTAGGGCTTGGTTTAGAAAATTCTCATTACATATAGATACTTACATATGAAGAGTTTCATTCCAAAAGGCTCTATATACATTTATGTTTTGGATATAATGAGGTTTTGAAAAGAAGAACAGCTGGAGAAGACGTATTTCTCTTATAATGGTGGTATTAATCATGATTTAGCATTGATATTTCTTGTATGTGTAAAGCCCACTCCCAACAACATATGTCATAAAATCTTTATTTATTAATTTGTAGAATTAATTATGCTTTATAGACAGGTGTTAAAAAAAGAAACAAAAAAAAGAATTTTAAAAATTCTTGAAAGTGATCTGTAATGTTTTGCAGCGATACCCCTCAGCCCCGGAGAATGTGGCAGCGTTTCTGGATCCTGTTTATATATGGTGTCTTCTTTGTGTTTTAGAGTTTTAACTTGCATTTGTGGAAGCAGTGACAAACTGTTTCAGAAGTGTTTCTGAGCCCATGCAGTGATTTCCACAACAGAATCATGAATCATGTCTGTAAATACTGTTTTTGACCTTGTCCCTTTGCATACAGAGTTATGTAGATGATGAAAAGCAAAAATTCTTTGCTATTTTACATTGAGAAACGTGTATATATATATATATGTATGTATACAGTGAAGCCCGAAGTTATTCATACCCCTGGCAAATTTTGACTTAAAGTTATTTTTATTCAACCAGCAATTGTTTTTTTTGACCGGAAATGACACAGACATCTCCCAGAAGATAATGAGACATAAGAAGTACAAGAGGCATCATTGTGGAAAAAAATATTCCTCAGCTTTTATTTACATTTGAACAAAAAGTGGCATGTCCACAATTATTCATACCCTCTGCAGACTGTCACAGTCTATGGGAAAATCCAAAGTTCTATACCATTTCAAATAGTCCAAGCTGTTCTAAAGCATCCTAATTACCCTGATTCATTGGGAACAGCTGTTTTAATCAACTCAGCAGGTGAAAAACAGCAGCTCTCTGCAGTTGGTTTCTGGACAGTCATGGCTAAGACAAAGGAGCTCACTAAGGACCTTCGAGTTCCAGGGGCTACAGTGCAAAGTATTATTCAAAAATACAAGACGTTCTGCACCGTGGAAGATCTCAGAGGATGTGGTTGGAAGCCAAAAGTGACACCTGTGCTGGCCAGGAGGATAGTGAGAAAGGTGAAAAAAAATCCAAGGATCACCACCAAGGCCATCCTGGTGAATCTGGGCTCTGCTGGTGGCAACGTCTCAAGGCAGACAGTCCAACGGACACTGCACACTGCTGGGTTCCACGGACGCAGACCAAGGAGGACACCACTTCTCCAGAAAAGGCACACAAAAGCCCGCTTGGCCTTTGCAAATGCTCATCTGGACAAAGAAGAAGACTTCTGGTCTTCTGTTTTATGGTCAGATGAAACCAAAATTGAATTGTTTGGCCACAATGATGTATCCTTCATTTAGCGTAAAAAAGGAGAAGCCTTCAACCCTAAAAACACCATCCCCACTGTCAAACATGGTGGTGGGAACCTAATGAGGGATGTTGGGGATGTTTTTCAGCCAGTGGACCAGTGAACCTAATCACAGTAAGCAGCACCATGAAAAAAGAGCAATACATCAAGATTCTCAACAACAACATCAGGCAGTGTGCAGAGAAACTTGGCCTTGGGCACCAGTGGACATTTCAGCACAACAACGACCCAAAACACACAGCAAATGGTTAGCGGACAAAAACATTAACGTTTTGCAGTGGCCCAGCCAGAGTCCTGAATTGAATCCAATTGAGAATCTGTGGAGGGAGCTAAAGATCAGGGTGATGGCAAGGAGACCCTCCAATCTGAAAGAGTTGGAGCTCATCGCTGAAGATGAATGGGCAAAAATACCAGTGGAGACATGCAAAAAGCTGTTCAGCAATTATAGGAAGCGTTTGATTGCTGTAATAGCCAATAAAGGCTTTTCTATTGATTATTGAGAAGAGTATGAATAATTGTGGACATGCCACTTTTTGTTCAAATGTAAATAAAAGCTGAGGAATATTTTTTTTCCACAATGATGTACTTCTTGTACTTCATCTTATTATCTTCTGGGAGATGTCTGTGTCATTTCCGGTCAAAAAAAAAATTGCTAGTTGAATAAAAATAACTTTAAGTCAAAATTTGCCAGGGGTATGAATAATTTCAGGCTTCACTGTATGTATGTATGTGTATATATATATATATATATATATATATATATATATATATATATATATACCCGTCATACATATCTATACATCACATCAAGGTGCTTACAGATATGTAATACATATGAAACATATAATTCCACATATGTACCTGTTGGAACAAAACCTCATATCTCCATTTTTTTCAGTTTTTGACATGATTTGAAAGTACCTGTTACTCTTTACATTATTTGTAAATTTCATGTTGAATGGACCAAAAAAAATGGCCCAAAATGACTGGTTCCATTGACTTACATTAAAAGTAAAGTATGTTTCTCCTTCTCCTGCAAAGTTACCATTTTGGAGATACAACGTTTTGTTCTGACAGCAGCGATATATACATATAATACCTATAATACCTATATAGACATATTATCACATATATACATCCGTTCTAATTTATCTCAAAGGTGTTTGATGGGGTTTGGTGGAGGAGGGATAATGCTATGGGGTTGTTTTTCAGGGGTTGGACTAGACCCCTTAGTTCCAGTGAAGGGAAATATTGCTTCCAACTTTGAGAGAACAGTTCAGGGAAGATCCTTTTCTGTTCCAGCATAACTGAGCATCAGTGCACAAAGCAAGGTCCATAAAGGCATGGATGGGTAAGTCTGATGTGGAAGAACTTGATTGGCCCTCACAGAGCCCTGACCTCAACCCCATCAAACACCTTTGGGATGAACTAGAACAGAGATTGTGAGCCAGGCCCTCTCGTCCAACATCAGTGTCTGACCTCACAAAGTGCTCTTCTGGATGAATGGGTGAAAATTCGCACAGAGACTCTGCAAAATGTTGTAGAAAGCTTCTCAGAAGAGTGGAAGCGGTTACAGCTGCAAAGGGGGGCCAACTGCATATTAATGCCTGTTGATATCACATAATTCATATGGGACATATATACATGGGGTATATATATACTTTTATACTATTATTTCTTTGTTATTTTATACTAATTTTACACATTTCTGTCGGCCCATTTGTCATAAAGTGTTCACCCAGTGGGCAGCAAGCTTTTGTTCCGTGCAATTTAGTGTCTATGATTTTTTCCCTGTGTGTTTTAATGTGTCCATAACTCTTCCACAGTGTCTGCTAAATAGAGTCTAATAATCAGACTTGGTGTCTCGGCACATTAAAGCTGATCGCTGTATTGTGCTTCATTCAGTCATTTTTTATTTTTTCTCACTCTCTTCCAGCTCCCTCCTGTCAATGCTCCGTAAGAAAAAAGACACTAATAGTGACATTCCACTGGTGGAAAAAGACATTCCAGCAAAAGAACCAGGTAAGGACACAGGCTGGTGCATGCAGAGTGTTTGTATTCCTCCGTCACCTGCCGCTGTGTCGTGACACTGTGGTTATGAATCAGTTCTTCTGCCACATTATTACAGTAGCCACTCAAATGCTTTTGTTGGTCCAATATTGAAAGACGAGGCACCTTTACACCCAGGACTATTTTCATGTGCAATTTCAATAAACTTTGACCATGAGAAGAAACTTGAAAGTAACCCTGGTCACCTTTTTTGTGCTGTTCGCATCTGTGGCGCTGAATCCCATGGTTAAATATGCTTGAAGTGTTGAATGGAGTTGGCTGAAAAGTTTGAGCTTTCAAGTTTGAGTTTTTGAGGGAGCACAAACGAGAGTGAAATGCAAGTTTGCATGGCGAATATGTTACCATTACGGTTTACCAGACGGGTTTTTCCGTTGGATTTTATGACCTGGTAGATAGTGAAAAGGTTGCATGTACTTAGAGAGAAATTTCACTTTTTTCACTTTCTGAGCCCTTTATAACCTCTGATATGTGGTAAGTCTATCACATCATTTTTTTGGGGGCATTTTGTTTTCCAAAAATAACAATTTTCCGAAAGTGCACTCAAAATGACAGACTTGCGCAGCCATTAGCAGCGGTGAAGGTGTCAGCATTAAATTATTATTAAATGCTTTTTAAATGTCAAAAGGGCTTTACAAAAAGGCCTGTTTCTTTACAGTTAAAGTACCATGTGTAATCCAATTTCTGCTCTTTTGTTGTTTGCATGTTGCACATTGAAATGATTGATTTCCCAAAGAAACTGAAACTAAAATAACAAAAGCGTCAGAAAATGCATCGTAACAACTTTTAGCATGCAGAGTAGAGCGCATAAAGTTTAAAACCAACCATGCAAAGTGAGCACGTTTGTGTTGATGAGCTATGTTGCATTACAGTGTATAATACATAAGCACCATACACCTATTACGTATAAGTACTTGCATATAATACTATATATATATATATATATATATATATATATATATATATAGTTATATAATTATAATAATAATAATTATATAATAATTATAGGTATTTACATGTATATAATATACGTCATATTACTATGCACAAGTACCTAAATCTATATAATAAATATGGGTCATATTCTTATTACACATAGGTGCTTAAATAATACATATAGGCTGTGTTATTATTACATGGAGGTATTTACATATTTAATACATATGGATTGTATTTTTGCATATAGGTACTTACATATATCATGATGCATATCAGCTGTAGTTTTATCACTTATACTAGTACACACTAGTTTAAGCTTCTTATAGCTAATAACAAAAGTGTACCACCATTCTTTTTTTTGTTGTTTCTTTTTATTTTTTCGAAGAGAAAAACAGCTTCAATTCATATTTCATTTCTAACGGTGGTGAACTGTGACTGTTAGAGCTAGGCCTCCAATTCAGGCCAAACATTTACAATTAAACTCTACCACAATGCTAATGTCTGCTAGCACCCCTATGGGATTCTAGTAGCATGTTAGCAGTAAGCTAACTCTGGTGCACATGAGCATTTTTGGCTATTCTTCATTAAACACAAACTGAATGTTGTAAAAGACAGTATATGTTTTATTAGAAGCTTGTAACAGACAATTAGCATATAGCTGAGCTTGTATGTATATGGAACATATTATTACATACACACACACACACACACACACACACACACACATATATATATATATAAAATGCATATGGGATATATTATCACATATGTAATTCGTACGGGACATATTATATGATATTACATGACATATTACATCATCAGTAAGGCATGTATCAGTTTTACAGTGACACTTTCAGTAAAGAATCCTAACATAGAGCTGCCACCGCTGTTTGCTATTCCTAACAACTAAACTGGAACCTGCTTAGACTGCGGCTCATATTCACAGTGACATATCTAGAACTTCCAGAAGGACCAGAGTGATGTTTCTCTTACAAAATTGTTCCCAATCATGCTTTGATTTATAATGAATGGGAACAGTTTTGTAAGAAAAACATCACTCTGGTCCTTCTGGAAGTTCTTAGATTAACTGCATGATTATGTTGGTAGTTAATCTGAGGTGTGAGGCCTTCAGTCCAACTCCTGAAGTCCTAACCAATAGGAGAGCTCACGCGGCAGTATCTACCCAGATACCACAGAGAAAACAATCCTGATTGGACAGTTTTCTGTTGGCTGTGTCAAGAATTTAACCCTTTCGCTTCGAACCAAAACTTAACAATAAGAGTATTACTACAGTGTTTGCAGAGCTTAAATATAGCAGATATAATGACTATATTAAATAAAAAAATAAACAAAAAATTACAGACATGTATAGAAGGGTATCGTGTGAGCTATGAAATGTGTAGTATTCCTGTCAGTGGTATGGATCCAAAAAGGCTGTACTTGTTTTTTAACTTTCTTCATGTTTGCTCAGTTGGGTTTTGGACGTTTAATGCCAGTTCTAGTTATTGATATAATATGATAATATTTTTTATTTGAATGTTTTTAGTGTTCTATTCAGCTCATTTGACTAATTTTGCCTAACTTTAGGCCTTTTTACATAAAATCACATAGTTCTTCCACTCGCTCGTAAAATAAGTGATCTGCGAAGAGAGGCAGTTAATGCTAATACACTTTATATTTGTTTTTTTTTTTTTTTTGCTGGAGTTCAGAACATTTTAACCCGCAGAAGCTGACATTGGTGCACATACAATGACTTCATTTAGAGAAAAGAAAGTAGCATAAATGAGTGATCAAGGCTACATTCCTCTGTGATTCGTCAGAAATTCCTGACTTTTCCTTTTTTAAGCCTCAGTTTGTTTGTAAACACTGAATGAAGCCCTAATACAGAAATAAAATTTCAGCTCGTCCTCACTCCAGTCACGGCTGGTATTCGCAGAACCTTAAATACTTTTATTCATCGTTTTTGTCATCCTGAAATCCTTGCTCAGGGTTTTTCAGGTGCATTGAACACCTGGAGCAGAGTAATTAGTCAGTTATTAGCCGTAAAACATTGTGTCGCTATTTCAATTATTCCTCTCTGCTGAGCCGTGCACGGAGTGGCTGCTTTTTAATTGCATTCAGCATTCAAAGACTTTGTGAAGTAACGTTTTGTGTGTTTGTTTGTGTGTGTACGTGTTAGAGAAAGACATTAGGCAGCAGGCCGTGGTGGAGATGATGGAACGAATCAAAAAAGGCATTCAGCTCCGGCCAGTTGGCCAGACAAGCAACAGAGCCAAACCACCACAGGTACAACACACACACACACACACACACACACACACACACACACACACACACACACACACGTACATAATCTTTGGGAAAAAAGAATCTTCATGGAGAGCAGCCAGATATCCTCACAACCACAAAATGTTCATCTTTTCATCATTCTGAAGGGAATTAGAGTCCTCTATATGTCCCATATGTATTATATACGTGCAAGAACGTATATGTAATAATAATATGCCCCACTAGTGTTATGTTAGTACTATGTTATAATTTGATATATATTTACCTGTACATAATACTTGTATTATCAAAATATAATGTAAGTACCTATATGTAACAATACCATGTCCAAAATGTGTTACATATATGTAATTGTCTACATACAATGTGTCATATATATATATATATATAGATAGATAGATAGATAGATAGTGTCTATAAAGCATCACAAGTGTTATATAGGTACAATAAGTATTATAATTTATTGTATATTTACTATACATTAGCATTATACATTAATAAGACATTATATTATTAATGTAAGTAATGTAAGTACCTATATGTAACAATACTATGTCTAAAATGCATTATACATATGTAATTGTCTATATACAATAATGTGTCCTGTGTGTGTGTGTGTGTGTGTGTGTGTGTCTATTGCATATATGTGAGACCTATTATCAGATATAGATGCTATATATATGTGTGTGTATATATATATATATATATATATATATATGTGTATATATATATATATATATATATATATAGTATATCAGATATATACAATATTATTGTTTGTATGTATTTGCGATTATATAATACATCTATTGCATATATGTGAGACCTACTATCAGATATAGATGCTATATATGTATATATATTTTATATATTTACCTTACATAACACATTATATTATCAAAATATTATGTAAGTACCTATATGTAACAAAAATATATCCAAAATGTATTATATATATGTTATTGCCTATAAACAATAGTGTGTTCTATACTATAAGTATTGTAATTTGTTATATATTTACCTATACATAATACATTATACTGGTTTAAATATTATGCAAGTACACATACGTAAGTATATCTATTATGTAAATATTATTACATACATATGCTTATATAGGAGTTATATATATATATATATATAATAAGTCCCTAATATATGAAATGAACGTATGTAATATGTATGTAATAAAATGTCCATGAGAAGTTTGTAAGTGTAACCTTTAAAGAGAAACAGTTTTGCTCTTTCTACATATCCATAGAACACATTTCACACAAAACTTTCACACGTCTACACGAACTTAACTGCCATCTTATTTTCTGTGTTTGTATTTCTGGTGTTTTCTGCTTGTACACATTCTAAGAGTGATGACTCTGATAGCACCATACACGGCAGCTTCAGGCCAAAAATGGGTGGCTATTCTGTGTCATTATGCTGTGTTATTATGCTGTGCTATTATGTTGTATTGTGATGCCCCAGTTTGAACATATTTTCTTTTCATCAAAAACATTAAAGTCATTTTTGCAGAAGTCATCATAGTTCTGTGTCGAAGTTCCAGTACAGCTCAGTCCTGTGGTTTGATAATGGTGATAATGTCGGATGCTTTTGAGTCAGAGTGAATCTGCTGTGCTCATTAAAGGCTTACAGGAGTTTTAGGCGAAAGCAGTTTGTGTTTCTAAGTCCTCAGTAATCCCTCCGAGTACAGGACTGCCACTCTGCTGTGGTTAACACAACTGCTATTGTTGCTAATAATGCTGGTAATCAAGACACGAACCATAAAGCCACAATAAAGGGCAAGATTTAGACGTAGATTTCACACAGCTAGATATGTTAAAGAACGAGTGCTATTGAGGAGTTTTTCAGTTTCATGTTTGAAATTATGCGTTTTCTTTGACTTTTAAGTATTTTGTTACAAAAAAGTCTGTCAGCACAGATCAGTGAATATGAAAAACTTTACCAAGAGAAGCTTTTAGGATTTTTAATATGAATACATGTTAAATGAGACAATAAATGTTTGATTTATTATGAAACAGATTGAACTAAAATGATTTCTGTTCTGTTCCTCTGATACTGACATGACTACTTTGTTGTTTCTTTCTGAACTAGAGAGAGCGAATACCATCTGGTTCTGCCATTCAGGAGCTTAAAGGAATTTTGGTAAATACTTATTTACCTACTTGATTTAGTAGAATGATATGACAAAACAGGGATGCACCAATACAGGAACTGTGAGCAGATGCCGATATCCGGTATTTTTCTTTTACATACGATAAGGGACCAAATGACACCATGACAGGTACGGTAGACTGATATCATTTTTAGGGAGCTTAAAATTCCTATAATTGGTAGTATTGGCCAAAATAACTTTATATTTATATTTTAGTTTTGATTTTGTTCTCCAGGAGTTACAGTCAAACAATACTTAGCAATAATATGATTTTTCTAATGAGTTTTTTATATAAAAAACACACATTATCAATGTTACTTTTGCCGATACCAATAAAACAGCGAGTCTTCAATATTGGTTAATATTATCGGCCAACCAATATATCGTTCAGGCCCTGGTAACAAGGAACTTGCCCAAATGCATAAATGAATGATACAGGACACAAGAATCACCAAGTACCAATATGGGAATTGTGAACAGATGCCGATATCCAATAATTTTCATTTACATAGACCAAAAATTTGGCTTTATACAAAGAAATGCTACATACATTTCAATATATACATATCATACAATATTAATATCTTTATTGGAGTTTTGGTGTGTTTGGGCGGTTCTAATCAACTCATAAGGTTGTACTGTCACCAAATCATAACTGGTAAATTTATCACATGAACAACAGGTGTATTCACCGTGATGGACCTCTATGATCTAAAAAATATTATTTTTTATGTGACATATGTAATGGTATACTGTTACAATGATTTATGAACGTTATAATACAGAATTGATGTGTAATTTATGCATATCTTTAACTTTGTACACATACGTTTGGGTTCATTCTGTAAACTCTAGTCCAATAATTGGTAATATTGACCAAATTAATTTTATGTTTATATTTTAGTTTTTAATTTTGTACTCCAGGAATGTAGTTAAACAGTGCTTTACAATGATATGATTTTTTCCATTGATTTTTTTTTCATTATCACAAATTAGTAGTTTTGCCAATACCGATAGAACAGCAAGTCGGCATTATTGGTTGATATTATTGGCCAAACGATATATCATTCTGACCTAGGGAACTTTTACCATCTAATCAGCCATTTAAGAGTACTGTCCAAACGCCCCACTGGTGACCAACATTGTGGGCAGAGCCTGATGTGATTTTCTGTTGTGTGTAGAGCTCGGTGAAACGCCCCTCCCCGATGCCCCTCCCCTCCTGCACGGCCCTCGTCCCCTGAACCACAGTCTGAACTCCAGAAAGTGCTACTGAAACGCCGCGGTGCGCTGGAGACGACACAGGACAGCAGTGAGTCTCACAGTCTTCATCATTTCTGATTATCCATCACTGTGACTGTGTTTCAACACATTTCAGTCACATACTAATATGTTACACTTAGGGATGGGCGAGTTAGACAAAAGTCTTACCTCAATATGTTTTTTGATATTCCTAATTACTAACACTTGTGTGGTGTTGGGGTCTGTGGGACCCATTTTAATGATTACCAAAAGAAAAAATTATGCGATTTATTATTATTTCAACCCCAGATTTCTTGGCCTTTGCTCATTTTCTTTGAAGAACATATAAAATAACTATTTTCAATGACTTCACTCTGTTCACCCCCTACACATTTATATTACACGTGGTGTTGGCTGAACCCATGGGGAGGAAAAGTGTGGAGGTGCTGTGTTCTTCACATGGCCTGCTGTTAGTGTGTATCAGTGTGTGTCTGTTTGTATATGTGTGTGTGTGTGAGGGTGGACAACATGGACAGGCTGCTGACTGGCTACGGCTGCTAAAGGAGAACCCTACGCTGGCCTACTTGCGATACTTTAAACATCTGGTATTTTTATATAAATTGTTATGGCTGTATTGATTTTTAAAAAACCAATAATGCTGTGGGTCTGATGGAGTAACAAAAACATCAACACCACACAAGGGTTAAAGTCATTTACTTCTTATTGCTCCATTCTAAGTCTGAACTATATTTCAAAACCTGTGTAAAACAGCATGTTTATTCAGGTCGCTCAGCTGTGTTACATCTAATTTAACAAAAACAAACCAATTCACGTGTGAGATTTATTTTTGGACACAGTCCAAAAAATGTTTACTTCAGTTTTTTTGGCCTTTCTTTACTCTGCATAGTTTGAACAAGCTTGTTAGCTAATCGTCTCACTGGTTTGTGCTGTTGAGTGACTTCTTCACCTTCCCTTGAGTGAAAGACGCACCATCGCCTCCTAATATACTTAACAGCAACTGTTCAGCGCTCTCTGATCTTAATACTGGATTGAGGAAACAGAACATAATCATTTTATCCAGGGGGTCCCAAAGGTTTGCAACCACCACACAAGCTTCCGCAGCCCACAAGAACATTTAACCTGTCCTTTATTTCTGACTCACCTCAATTTTGGCAGCTACCAAGAGCCGAAAATGATGCAAACAGATTCCTGTGCCCGGTTGCATAAAACACCTTTGCCCAGTGAGGTTGCTGAGGACTGGCAGGGTCGTCTACAGAGCAGTGCTAGTAGCCTGTTAATGAAGTAATGTTCTTTTTTATTCAAGGGTCCCATTTCGTAGAGGAAGATTTCAACCACTACCCCTGTAACTCGGTTCCAAGGGGCACGATGACACTCGAAAACAAGGGTTAGGGGTAAAAATAAGTAAAGGGATTGGGCCCTTAAGTTTTTAACTATGGGAATTTGTTAAGAGGGTTGCAAAAAATGCCCCAGACATTTATCTTTAGTAAGAAAATGGTTCTGCATAATCTAAAAGGGTTCTATTAGTCACTGTAGTAAACCGCTCAGCATTTTCCTTAAGAACCCTTGAAGAACCATCATTTTTAAGTGTATATACAATATAAGAACCCTGTGCAAACCTCACCTGCATGAACCGACCCTCCTGATGATGCTGCTGCTGCTGCATAAACTCAAACTATCTAATGATTGCTCCACCTGTTTTTCCACGTTTTGTATTCTGATATTTTATACTATTGCTGTTTGCTATCCGGTGTCGACCAGAGGAGGATGGGTTCCCCTTTTGAGTCTTGGTTCCTCTCAAGGTTTCTTCCTCTTGCTCTTAGGGAGTTTTTCCTTGCCACTGTCACCATTGGCGACGCTCATGGAGGCTTGGACCTGGATTTTTCTGTAAAGCTGCTTTGTGACAACACCTGTTGTAAAAAGCGCAAGATAAATAAACTTTGACTTGACTTGACCTTTTTTGGTGCTATATAGAACCCTTATACAGCACATTATCAAAAAATACCTCAAACGTGCATCACTGACATTAGTTAGTAATTTTAGTTTTGATTTTATTGCCAACACTAAAACAAGGTTGCTTTGAATTTTCTGGATTTAAATGCGTACATTGAATGAAATACATCGATATAATTAGTGTCATTCATTTTTCTCTCTTTTGACCACAGCAGTGTTATGTAATATAGTTTATTCATGTGGAATCAATGCTTGCATTTGAATCCATTAAATTTAAAGCAACCTTGTTTTTCAGTGCAAACCGTATTACACTCTCTTACAGCTAATCAATTTCCCATTCAAAGTTACAGCTCAGTTTTTTTCATTCTTTCACTCTTTTTTCTCTATCTCTTTTCAGCATTGTCCTCACAGCCCTTTCCCAGCAGTGTTCTGGACCTGACCCGTGTTAAGCACACTCACACTGGCCCTGGACAGAGCGCTAACCACACGACTACACAACACTGACACCTAGAGACACCTGAAACTGTGAGTATCTCATACTGGAATGATCCGCCATCCAAATAAACCCTGAACTGACCATTGATGAATGGGGTAGAGGGGCTGATGCATTATGCAACATGTGGGCTACAGTCTGTAATTGTAAACCACTGTGCATCTGTAGGGTATGTGTTTCTAATAAAATGGCCAGGTACCACGTATGAGCACCTGAATTGACAACTGTGAATATTTGATTAGTTAGGTATGTTCTCAAATATGTTGGAACAGAAATGTAGAGTAATTGAAGGTCCTCAAGGAGGTAAAAGCTGCTGTACTAGGTCCCAAAAGGTTCTTTAAAAGAAAAAGTGTGTAAAGAAATGTTGTTTAAAGAAAGACACAATTCCTATTCTACTAGAAGTTCTAAAAGAGGAAATCCACAAATTTTCCAAAATATCTGCATAATTCAAAGGTTGAGATGTTAACAGAGTCATTCAGAGTGACAAAGCTCAGAAGACACATGTAGGTTCACTGGTGCTTTTGGATAGTAAATAAAATGTCTGTATTTGTGTTGTAGTCATGGCGACCCCCGGTTCCTATCACCACCACTGTCTGAACCATTTCACACCACTCTGAATCACTCTGTTTACACCTCAAACACTGTAGAAAATCTGAAAAATCAGTGGAAATCCTCTTTGAGGTTGTAGTTATGATGTTATATCATTCACTTAGACTTCGTGTAGGAGTTTACAGAATGGTAAAGCCCCTTTTTGTCCGTGGTGTAGCCGTAGGAGTGGGAGTAATTTTAGTGAAATAAAATCCGATCTTTCCCAGCGTCTCAGGCTTTAGCTGAACTCTTTTAGTGGTGGCGTCTGAGCCGGAGTTATTCACCGTAGTCTTTGTGTGCAGGAACAGTGTCTGCAGACGGGTATTGGAGCTTAGCCTTGAACGTTTGCCAAGCATTTACGTTTCTGAACAGTTCTGTCCAAACTAGTATTAATCTTGTAGGCTCCCATTCGGTAATTACAAGGCACTGGGCAGCTTTTTTCTCTCCTCTCTCTCCTCCCCTGATTGTTATAGCGCTGTCAACCATAAGGCTCTCTCTTTTTTAGCCCCTCTCAGCTCTGCTGCATTTGTCTTCACTTCACTCGCGCTGCCTTTTAACTCCAAGTTACAGTACCAGACGCAAAAACAGCTCAGGTCAAATATCTTCTTTAACCCTTTAAATGGCCAGTCTCCACCGACAGGGCCAAAGTCTTATATAATCTAAGAATAGCTCAGCCACTTTGCACTGGAGTCACTGTAGTTACTGAATAATAAGCCTTAGTATGTAATAAGCCTGAGATTTTAAGGGGTTAAAGGGCTTACTGTTACAGATTTGTGAATTTTCCTCACTTTTTTGATATAGTTCATAAACATAATCAAAGCTTCCAAATCAGACCCATAAGCACATCTCTATATATGAAAACTAAGCTGCCAAAACTGATTTGATGTGCTGTTTCTCTGATGTCACGAAATCCAGTGCCTTTACATGTATATCCACCATATTCAGCCTACAGAAGTTTTTCACACAACCCCCCCTCCCCCAACACCCCCCCAATGAATTTATAGCACTGTTTCAGCCTGGACTGCTTTTTAAATGAGGCACAATACAGAGCAGCCAATCAGGGCAGAGCTCATTTACATATATCAGTCTTTAAAGGCACAGTGACAAAAACTCTGAGGGATAAAGAGAGGTTAGACAATGATCATGTAAAAATTGATGGTACCACTTTAAAATAAGACTACCCCTATAAAGGGTTCATGAATGGTTTGAAAGGAGTTTATTAATGCTTTATTAATGGTTAGTTAATAGTGGTAGGTCTAGAAGACTAAATAAGCACTTACAACACATAAATAAAAAGGGCAACGGTGACCTGTTGGTTGTCTAATAGTGAAACCATGTTCATTATATTTATTAGATACAACAGCTCACTTTTGCCCTTTTTGTGAATGTGTTATAACTGCTTATTAATGATTAATGAAGTGTTCATGGCCTAACTAATGACTGTTATTTTGAGACCATTCATAAACCATATCAAAAGCCATTCATAGAAAGAGTAGTCTTATTTTAAAATGGTACCAAATTGTTTTAGGCTGCTTTTGGTGCCACACAAACAGAAGTGGAGCTCAGGGGAAAAAAGCTGAAGAATATGTACAAAATATTATATTGTGAATATTCAAAAATATACTGGTGCACACAGTATATTGCTGAATAACAATAGTGTGGCATGGTTAAAGAATGCCCAAAATAATTGACTTTTATTGGATTACATGGATACCTTGACTCATTAAAAGAGAAATCTACCCATTATTTTTTTTAATTACTGCATAAGTAAATGGTTAAGATGTAAACAGAGTCGTTCAGAGTAGTTTGGTGTGAAATGCTCATTCTAGAGAAACTTACAGAGTCAGAATTGTTCACAGTGGTGGTGATAGGAACCAGACGTCCACCTCTAAAAGCTCCCTCACAGAAAGTTATTACATAAAATGGTTATGAATTCACTGCATGATGTCTGAGACACTGTTTTACAATAATTTTGAGAACATTTTGGCCTCAAATGTTTTTTCGGATATCTATTCATGGTGGAGGGATACACGTAGGACGTTGTGAAGCAAGTAGTCCCCAAAGAAAACTTATTTTTTCAGATTTATCACTTTTATCATCATCAATATTCCATATAAAACTCAGAAGACTCGTGTAGGTTCACTGGTGGTTTTGCATAATACATAAAATGTCTGTATTTGTGTTGTAGTCATGGCGACCCCTGGTTCCTATCACCACCACTGTAAAGAAATCAGAACCATTTCACACCAAACCACTCTGAATCACTCTGTTTACATCTCAAACACTGAATTACACAGACGTTTTGAAACAGTTGCCATCATCAGAAGATCGGAAGTTTGATCCGCAGTGATACCACAGCCATCCGTATCTGGGAGTCTAAGAGAGTAAAACTGTCCTCTCTCTCCTCCCATCGCAGTGCAAGCCAGAGATGTACCAGTATTGCCGGGTAGTGTTTACCTCCAGTGACGCAGCATTAGTGGCAGTTTGAAAAGATGCAGTGGGGCACATATTGCGGGGAGACCTAGCTGGGGGTGGAGAACATTTAAAAACAAAAATACAACATGGTGATTGGTTAGAAGGCTTATTTGGATGTTTCAGTGTTTGCCAAGAGCCAATACTGTAGTAACTATTAACAAACAATATATTATGCAGTCCCTAATACTGTACTTTCAAACAGGAAAGAACACAACATTTTGGTATCTGGACACAAATGTAGAGCTGGATTAAAATGAACCCTTAATGAGATTTCTCAGCTGAAAACCTTTCTTTGTCTTGTGCTAGCCTTAGTTAGTTCAGACCATTCAAAATAAGTCAGTTGCTCTGATCTGATTCAAAGTAAAGTGATTCAGACTGATTTCACTCCTGGGTGTTTTATAGGCCCGCTTATATTTTCTGTTCATAGAGCTCCTTCCTAAGTTAGATATGTTTTGACAAAAAAAAACATTCTGCTAATCTTATTTATCCATGAGCACCTGCTGCTGTCGGCCCAAAATCTCGGCTCAGAAAAGACTTTAAAATGACAATGGCAAAATTAGAGATTTAAAGCGATGTTTATGTTGTCGGAACAAAACATATCTCCAAAATTGTAAGTTTACAGGAGAAGGAAAAACCTTACTTTTAATGTAAGCCTATGGAACCAGACTTCTTTCCAAGTCATTTTGGTCCATTCATCATGAAATCTACACACAATGTAAAGGGCAACAGGCACTTTCAGATATATATACACCGATCAGGCATAACATTCTGACCCCCTCCTTGTTTCTACGCTCACTGTCCATTTTATCAGGTCCACTTACTATATAGGTGCACTTTGTAGTTCTACAGTTACAGACTGTAGTCCATCTGTTTCTCTGCATACTTTGTTAGCCCCCTTTTACCCTGTTCTTCAGTGGTCAGGACCCCCATGGACCCTCACAGAGCAGGTACTGTTTGGGTGGTGGATCATTCTCAGCACTGCAGTAACACTGACGTGGTGCTGGTGTGTTAGTGTGTGTTGTGCTGGTACGAGTGGATCAGACAATCAGACACAGCAGTGCTGCTGTGTACCTGCTCTGTGATATATATATATATATATATATATATATATATATATTTTTTTGTTTTGTTTTGTTTTTTTGTTACAGTACTATGCAAAAGGTTTAGGAACTTGCGACAATTCAAAACCTTATTTTTGTCAGTGACTGTTTATTTGCCCAATAACACACTAATATTACATTACATTAATAGAGTAAGTTGTGGTTTTATGTCTGTCAGTGTGTTTGCATAACCATCTCCAGACTTTTCCCAAGTTACCATCCAATACTTCCAACCAATGAATCGATCCTTCATTAAGTTAAATCAAGCGTCCTGGTGATGGAATTTAATAAATCATCGCAATGGCTGGGAACATTGATATATATTGATATATATTATATATTCAGCAGTCAATTATACACAATAATAAGACATTTGTAATCAGTGTTATTCTATCCAGGAAACTCTGATTGGTGCAAACTGATTCCAACACACTATGATGTAGTAAATGTGCATTTTCAGGAAAAATCTAAACATTTGAGATGGTCTTGCTCATTCCTGCCATCACTAGCATTAGTTGTAACAAGTGAACTGGACCGTAACTCTTTTTAGGATAATTATATACTTGGGAAATTTGAAAATCAAAGCATCCTGTGGCCTGAATCTTCTGCTTTGTTCTACTAAACCACTAATGTCTTCAGTCGCTTCTATGTAAAGGAAAGAAGAGTTAGCACACATTTGACATAAATGAAAGGGCTGAAACAAACTGAAATATAGTAGATGGAACAGAATGTTTGCTTTTGTACATTTCAGAATAACATTTTCAGAGTTTTGATCTTGAGCAAAGCAGAAGACCTTGTGAAATCACCTCGGCTCATAACGTTTAGCGCCGTCATTCTGTTCCCCACAAAAGCAGACAGACAATCACGGA